ATTTCGACAGAATTCAAAGAGTTTCTAGAAATTTCGACAGAATTCAAAGAGTTTCTAGAAATTTCGACAGAATTCAAAGAGTTTCTAGAAATTTCGTGGAAAATTAAAGACTTCCTTGAAATTTCGGAGAAATTTGAGATCTTTCTGGGAGTTTCGAAGAAATTCAAGAAATTTCTAGAAATTTCAAGGAAATTTATGAAAACAGAATTCGATCTACAGTGTTATCAAACTCAACCTACTACATTAGGCAATACATGTTTAGATTTAACGTTTACCCGTTATATAAATGTTGATCTCTTTCCGTATGTATCCTACTTTCTTATCATCGGTCTATACTCAATAAATTCATGTTAAAAAATTAATTAGTGTTTCTTTTCTTGTTTAATACCTATAACAAAACACCTATAACAAAATCCTAATCAATGACATCCTTTACAGGCTATGTTGAAAGCGTCACCACTTAGACGTGTACGCGTTTCATCATTTGGCTGTATCGAGGATACAGCAAACTAGGGTTTTTTTTTTTCAATTCGCAATATTCGCAAGCGGGAATGTGGTTAAAAAAAGAAGAATAATGTGGCCAGGCCGCTCAACCGTTTTTTTCGCGATTTTTTAATTATTTTGAGTCCAATCATTTATATACCAAGTACATGTCCCTATCACCCATTGACCCATGATATCTAGATGATGGATTTCAGAGGGCGGTGGAGTGGAGGGAGTGTTGGTAACTCCATCCGGGCCTTAATATTTTTTCATTTATTAAAAAAAAAACAATCTGAAAACCATCTAATGCATGGAACAGATACAAATCAATTTAATTAGCTCCAAAAATAATTTTTAACCGGAGATACTCCCTAATATTGCCTGAATTTTGAATCCGAATGGGAAAAATTTTTTTGTTCAGCGATTGGTTTTTTGCAGGAAGACAATAGAAACCCCTCCGCCTCACCTCCTATATTTCCACCTCGCCCGATTATCCTTAATATTTCCTAAACAACAATTTATGGTATTTTGTATTTGATGAAATGTCATAGCTATAACAGAAGTAGACGTTAAAATTTGGTAAAATTGTAAGTCTTATGACATTACAGGATGAAATTGTATAGCTCTGACAGAATCAGAGGACGGTGTGGTTTATTCCCCTTACCAATATGAATAGGTTTTGGAGTAGTTATCATCTGCGAAATTGTACGGATCCATTCGGAAGCTTATTACCAATGGAATTGGTAGAAAAAAAAAAGTAAATGTCACATGGCTTCTACCAAAAAGGCTTACAACCCTGAAGTAAGCTAGACATATTCTTCATTTGCGCATGCGTGTGGCTAATGCCCACGCTTATCGGCCTGTGCGCCGTTTTCTTTAGTGTCGTCGTTGGCGAGCTGTACTGGCTATGGCCTCGTGTAACTAAATAAAAACTAATTACAATATTACATTACGTAATATTTCATTCCTATTCCCCTCTTCATCTCTGAGAAGGCAACTGCGCTGGTGCTAACAGTGCGCACAAGATTTATAATAAAAAAACGGAAAAACGCTAATATCTCCAAACTTTTCATGAATCGGTATATATGATATGATTGATCCAGATAGAGGCCATCGAGACGAGTATTTTGAAAAAAAAATTGAAATCGATGCAGTTGTTGAGATATTGAGGAAAAACGAAATTTAAACAAGTGTTATATCTCAGGAACTACGGGACCTATCGGGCTGAAACAACGCACCAAAGTAGAGTTCGCTCATAGCTACCATGAGCCAAAATTTCAACTTTGTATCTAAAAATTTCACCGTATTTATGTTGAATTTCCTAAAACTTAATCACCAAAAACCCAAATCTGTACATACATACAAACATGACCCTAAAAACATCATTTCTTTACGTTTTATAACATTCTAAACCATTTGCGATCAAAATTAGAAAATCGAAAAATCGACCAAAAATATTGCTTCCATTCGGAAGCAAAAGATGAGTCATTGATATATTACACTGAGAAAATAAGGACAGGAGAACTCAAATAAAATGAAAAAATTTAACAGGAAAACTCTTTCTTTTCTGAGAACTTCTGTTGAATCTTTATCGCAACTCTACATTTCTAATAGATACCTATATATTCACTGCGCTGGACAAAGTTGAATGGAAGCCATAGATTGTATACTTTCTCTAAAGCTAAAAACATCCACTCAACAAAACATCTAAGTAATTGAAAAAAATCCGGTTCCATACCTGAGCACCGTTTCTTAAGGGTTCCATGGCTGGGTTACTGACGGTATTTGACCGAAAAAAGTCAATGGATTTTGATTTTTCCACATTAATTGTTCTCTTAAGCTTTTTTCAGAAGAAATTCTTCTGCATTATTGTTCCAAGTATTTTTTGCCGAAATTTTTCCCTCTTTCTTATTATAAAATCTACAGAAAAGAAATTAACGATTGGGTAATTTACACCCAAAAATTTTTATTGAAAAAATCATATTCTGTAGGAATTTTTTCCATAATAGAAAACCAAGTAGAATTTTTGATGGAATTCTCATGGAGTTGCAAAAAAACTTCAATAGAATTTTTTGGAGAAAGTGATGCGTTTGTCTTGTTAAATTTTGTCATATATGAAAATAAATAATAAAGGCATCAGGGTTTCTTTAAGAATCTGTTATATCAGCGAACCCATCGACGCAATGGTTTATTTGTTCTTCACAAGAACATAGCTTCCATTCAGCAGAAAAAACCCCAATCGTCATTTCCAGTTGAATTGTCTTACAATGTCACGAGTACACGCGTGAAAAAATTTCGTAGAAAAACCTAACGAATACAATAGAAAATTCTATTAAATTCCTATTGAAAGTCTACTAAAAATTACAATAGTTTTTGGCCAATTCTATTGAAGAAGTCCGCAGCTTTACTGCGCGTTTTTCAAGCAGAATATGCCCAGTAAAAATTTAAACAACGTTTTCTTCTCTTTTCATTGGAAAAATTAAATAAAAAACTTTGGGAATTTAAAATGAGGAATTTTTATTAGGAACTAGTGAGTGGGCGGACCTTAAGGCTTTGAGATAATACTTTACATATCAGTTTATGAAGTGAATTTCATTTTGATACAACTTGAATGAATGATCTCATTTTAAAGCTTAAAAAAACGGTCTGAAAATGATTTATAATTTGTTGAATTTCACTCTGCCAATCTCGAGTTATTGACTTTTGAATACGGCTCAATTTGCATTGCAGTCCCATACAGCGGAGATGTTTGTAATTTTAAATATACTATTTTTTTTCTTCTCGTATACCCTTTGGGGTCTTTACGATTTGTTCCCTTCCCACCCCCCAACCCCTGTTCGGTATTCGCCGAAGGACAGGGGAAAACCTCATTTTGAGGGGAAAATCTGCCCAGGTACAGTCGTCTCTTGCCAGACTCCCGCTCGACAATGAAAACGTGAGATTTAGAGTGTCACAAATTCCCCCCCCCCCCCCCCCCCCCCCCCCCCCCCCCCCTTC